TCGGGCCGTCTTGGGGGCAGCTTCGGCCGTCGTGTGGTTTTATCTGGGGCCTCTTGGGCCGCCTTGGGACGTCGGAAGCTCGAAACGGCGAGAACCTCACACAGACTGGAAGACCTCTGGACAATCACTGATGTTTGCCTCTCGAGGCCCTCTTGGGAAGGTTCTTTGGGTTCTCTGGGGACGTCTCGAAGGCCTCTTGGGCCGTCTTAAGGCCATCTTTGGCCGTCTTGAGGTCTCAGCGGGTCGTCTCGGAGCCATCTTGGGCCGTCTTGGAGGCATCTCGGCTTCGTGAGGGCGCACTTGGACTAAGTTACGATGGAGTGTGGCCTCGGAAGCCTCGGAAAGGGAGGGGCGATGCATGCAGATAAGCGCTTCCGGAGAGGGTGGCGGCCTTTTAGAAGATTGCAGAACCCCTACCAGACAGCACGTGTCATTATTGCACGCCCCAGCGTGCCAGGGGTCACGGTGGCGGATAGCTCACACCGTTTGGCTGAAGTCGCATAGCTTACACAACGTCAACTATGTACACCGCATAGCTTACACCGTGTAGTTTACACAACATAGTTCGCGCGGTACCCCCCTTAGCTCACACCACATAGCTTACACCGCATAGCTTACTCCAGATTCCATCGTAAAGTGGGGGGGGGGAACACATTTGGGGGGGGGGGTCTGATCTGAGCTGTCTTGGCGGGTTTGGGGGGGTCTGGGTCAAAGGGCCGCCCTTTCATGGATGGTCTGGGGTGGTCTAAAACTTCTCGTCTGGGAGGGTTGTGACCCCCTCCCTTTTACGAGATCTGGAGTGCACAATCGAGCTTACACCACAGCTTGCACCGCACAGCTTTCACCTCCACAGAGCAATAATCAACTATCTGGGGCCCGCGCTGGCCAACATTGTTTTATCGGGTAAGCGTGGCCATCAGTCAGAAATCATAACTGCATCGGCCGCGCCATACATACCTCCCCTCTCTGCTAGATGCAGCACATGGCTCATGATGCAACGCACCCAGCTGCCTGGATGGCATGGCAAACGGATGCGACGTGAGCGAAGCAACAACGGCGAGGTGGCCTGCGCAGTCAGCGAGACTGCAAAGCTCGCGCACCAAGGCCTTCTTGGCCCGCGCGAAGCGCTGCTCACAGTGTATGTTCCCGAACGATGCGCTGCACGGCGCGGTTCAAACTATGGGCGTGCTGCGCCGCACCCGCAGCAGGTTTGGTTTGCCGTTGGGTGCGCGGTGCTTCCGCCGCCGGAACGGGCCGCCGAGAGCGCGCGAGTGACCCCGGCGAAGCTCTGCCCCACACGTGCCCCATGAAGAATGCATGCGCTGTGCTCTGTGCGCCTGTCGGTGTCCCTGTGTGCTGCTCAGCGCCCCGCGCCGCTCTTCCCAGCAGCTCGGGCTCGAGCGGCACACTTTGGCCTCCGAGCGGAAGCCCGTCCCGGCCCTCCGACACACTCTTCGTGCCCAAGCGCGACCAGGGCGCCATGCAGTGGCCGGCATGCTTCCACACGTCCTCCCTGGCGGCTGCCGCAGGAGGCCTCCTGCTGCTTCCGCCGAGGGCCGCGGGGGCGGAGCCGAGCCTCGGCGCGCCCGCGCCGCCCCCTCGGCCCGCGCGCGGCCCGCGGGAGCACCGCCTCGGCGCCGCGGCCCCGGGAGTGGTGCGGCACGTGGGCGCGGAGAGAGGCGAGACGGCCACGTGGCAGTGGCGGCCAACGCTGCGCTGGCTGGGCGCGGCAGGGCTGGCGGGGGCGGGCGGCGGGCTGCTGGCCTCTTCGGGGCGCAAACAGCTGCAGGCAGGCAGAAGCCGTCGGAGCTCCGCGCGCGGTCCTGGGATCGGCGCTGGGCCCCCCTCCCCGGCGCGCGGGGCGCGGCAGTGGCCGGCGCCGGAGGCGTCGCCAGCAGGGGGGGCCCAGCGCCGAGGCGAGCAGTCCGCGCGGAGCTCCGAGAGTCGTTCTGGCCAGACAGCTCTTGCTCCTTCGAAGCCTCGGCCGCCATCGGTGGCAGGAGGTCTCGGAACGAGCGGGTCCTCTCGGGCATGCTGGTGCTGGCCTGCGCCGCGCTCGTGGTGGTCACGGGCCACACGCCAGCCGGGACGCCGGCCCTCCACGGGGTGTCGGCGGGACTCGTCGGAGCAGCCGTGGTTGGCATCGTCATGGGGTGCTGGGCGCAAGGACCGCGGGAGCGCGCACAAGCCTCAGGCTGAGGCGCTGCAGGACAAAGATGGTGGCGGCCGGTGCTTCCCATGGTTTTCGGCCTCCGGAGGCCGCTTCCCGGCCCTGGGCGGCGGTCAACAAGCGGTTCGGGGCACAAAGCCAGCCGCCCTGGGGAAGCGGTCGAGATCCCAGGGGGCGGGCGTCACGGGCAAAGGTGCAGCGTGGGAGGAGGGGGAGGGGGGCGCGGGCAGCGGGGCACGGCCTTCCCCAGGGCTCCACTCCGAGCCTGCTCGGCGCGTGAGCCCACTCGGCCGCCGAGTGAGCCCTGGACGGCGTGCGCCCGCCCGCCCG